TTTTTTTTATTTTTGTTTTTTTTAACGTCGAAAAAAACCAAGGAACGATACAAATTTTATAAATGCCTAAATCTGTAAAGAATATTTGAACATCTCCGTCTCTTTTCCACTTAATAAGGCGCCATAGTTAGTCACGTGACGGCCGTCACGTGACATGGCAGTGGCGTTGTGGGAGAAGAGAGAGAGTCGACCCGAGCACCACTGCAGCAGTTTCCGCAGCAGTGTACGAACTCAGAAGTGCGCACCACATACACAAAACATTCCACCGGATGGTTCAAAGACCTTAACTTAACGTAAAGAAGTGCACATCAACGAAAAATTTTCATTTTGGTTATTATTTTTTTTAGGAAAAAATAATAATAATAATAATAATAATGAAAAGGACTGTTAGAAAACGTAGACGTATCGTAGACATTGCTAGAGAATTTCATTATCTCAGAAACGTTTTTGGTTGGATGTTGAGTATCATTTGGGTACATCTACTTTTAAGCTACGAAATTGTTGCATCAGGTAAGTTCTTTTCTTTTTATTTAATTTTTTTTTTTTAAAGAAAATTACATTTCTTATTTTTATATATAATTTTTTAAATTTTTTCTCGATACTTATCGATTACGTAAGTCGTAGTGGAGGGAAAAAAATCATTGCTTAAAACCCTTTGCATAACGTTATATCAATATTGATAAGTTTAATTAATACCATTTGGAACTGTTTGATGATCATCCTTCCCAAATCACTTCATCCATGAACGTGAAAAGTGTGTTTCTATCTTCTCAAACCCTCATCAATCTTCGTCTTGTCTGAAGATTGTTACTGACAACCAGTTCTGGTGACTTAGGTTGTTTAATCTCCACTAGATTCTATTAATCCACCTAGTATAGATAGAACAATTAACGGGCAATTAAACTATATCGAATTCATTGATTTATCTGAGTTTTCTTGCATGTATTTCTTTCTAATTCATTAAATAATGTTACTAATATATTTACTGTGTTTCCAGCCTTTCTTGAAACGAATTTTTGTTATTTTTCTTAAGTTTTTTTCTATTATTTAAGTATTTAACGAATATAATAATAGATTAAGGGATGAATTTTATTTCTAAATGTGTAAATCTTCCATTTAAATTAGTGTTATATGTTAAAAATATCATTATCCTTATTACAAAGATACAATTTTAAAAATTTATATAATAAATCATTATTAATTCTGTAGAGAAATTAAAACAAGAGGGGATAAATTTGATAATTTAATTAAAAATTAATTTCGTTTTTGTTCTTCAAAATCATTCATTATATCATTATATCTTCGTTTTCTTTTTATTTAAAATTTTTTAAAAAATTTAATAGTTTAAAACGAAATTTTCGTTATTGTATTGATTTATTTAATTGAGTTTAGAAAAAATTAAACTAGGTTAATGCCATAATGCCATAGAAATATTTTAGAAACAATCTATATCGGGAATCATTAAGAAATCGCATCTGGAACCATTAGTATATGATACATGCTACTTCCAAATGTAACCTAGTCTTTAATCAATCCACAGGAAATATGTGAAGAGAAAACGGTGCAATGTAAGAGTCCTTAAGCAAACTCACTTCTAGGTTAAATAGTAATCACTGATCTTCACCTATTCATTCCTATTAACAGCAAAGTGTTTATCATAATATCATTAAAGTATTTCGTTTTGTGTGATATTAATTGGCATTAGAGAAATCGATAATAAGGGTTAATTTGTTTAAATAGATAATAAGATGATGTAGTTTTTTTAAATGCATTTTTTAAATTAAAAAAACAACACTTTAAAATGTAATTTTATTAAGAAACTTATGATTTTGTATATTAATTTAATCTGCTTTTTAATTATGATTATGAATTTTGGAAGAGATGTTTCAGATGCGTGATCCTTACTGAAGGATAAATTACATAAAATTTTTCTTATTAACAACACACGTATATTATTAAAAAATATAATTAATTAATTTCTTCTTAATATTTAAATTTTGAACAATTATTTTATGCATAAACTAAATTTAAATATGAAAAACAAAGCTTCTACATACAAGCCTAATACTTACATTAATATTATTTGATAATATATTTAATAATTTTATAAATATTAAAAATGAATTCTGTGTAAAAAAATAACTTATTTTTTAGTGTAATTAACCTGTGTAATCTGCAACAAAGTGATTTTTGTTATGGCATTCACTGTAATGAATATACTTGTCTGTAGTTATCTACGTATAGAACATTTAACAGCTTAAGCTAGAAATGCTGTAGAATGAATCTAAGAGCTTAGTAAATTTTCAAAACTTTCAGGATTTATTTTGAATCAAAGCCATTAAACTTTTCGTTTTTGTTAATCAGGACAGTCTATATATATTGTACAGATAATCCGTTTGAGTCGCATACAGGCAATTATTTTTTAACTTAAAATCCTGTTTCATGAGGTTTCTTGATGTTATCCATCCTTCTTGGATTTCCTATTAGGCTCTTAACGGAAACGTTACAATAATCCTACCCTTTTCTAGTTTGCCGAATCAACAAGCAAAAGTATAGGATTACATTGATACTGATTCAATCCAAATATATCAAAAGAACATATTAAAAGATTAACCAACAATTTCTACATCGCTTTCCCCCCTTTTGTTTAAACATAATTTTTCTAATGTTCGCCATATAATTGAATTAAATAAGCTTAATTAATGTTTTATTTGAGTTAATATAGTTAATAAAGAAAAATATATTTTCTTGTTAATGTAATTATTTTAGCAAATTTTNATTTTTTTAAAAATTTAATAGTTTAAAACGAAATTTTCGTTATTGTATTGATTTATTTAATTGAGTTTAGAAAAAATTAAACTAGGTTAATGCCATAATGCCATAGAAATATTTTAGAAACAATCTATATCGGGAATCATTAAGAAATCGCATCTGGAACCATTAGTATATGATACATGCTACTTCCAAATGTAACCTAGTCTTTAATCAATCCACAGGAAATATGTGAAGAGAAAACGGTGCAATGTAAGAGTCCTTAAGCAAACTCACTTCTAGGTTAAATAGTAATCACTGATCTTCACCTATTCATTCCTATTAACAGCAAAGTGTTTATCATAATATCATTAAAGTATTTCGTTTTGTGTGATATTAATTGGCATTAGAGAAATCGATAATAAGGGTTAATTTGTTTAAATAGATAATAAGATGATGTAGTTTTTTTAAATGCATTTTTTAAATTAAAAAAAATTAATTTTGCATATAGTTTATATTCTAGCAAATAATAATTTTATTTTCTAATCCAAATAATAATAATTATTTATTGTTTATAAAGAATAAACAACGAAAAATGTTTTCTTTTAGTACATATTTTAGAAACATTTAAGTATATCCTTACTCATAATAATATGAATTACATTAACAAGTGTCACTGTAATTTATGTTACACAAACTTACATCCGAATTACAGATTCTATTCGAATTTCAGTAAACATTAAATGTTTGAATAGATAATCAGATATAATTGTGTTTGAATAGATGTTAGAATTTGCTGTATTTGATCTTAAAAGTATTAAGTAAAGATCAAAATAGGAATTACGTTTTACACGTAAGATAAATTTGATTCCTATAAAATGTAATGAAGCAAAGTAATAACTTTAGAATAGTTTACGTTTAATTTATTAACATGAAGATCTCGAATGTAGTATGAATATTAAAATATCATACGTACAGATTAATTATAGACATATTTAAGAAAATTTTAAACAAAAGTAATATTTCTAACGTTACATATTGGCTACAGTTAACCTAACTTAACACAAACTGACCACACTTATCCTAATCTAACACCACTTGACCATACATAACCCAAATGGCCTACATTGATTTTATAATATCATTTATCTAATATAGATATCCTGTCCAACCTGTTATAAATGATATCTTAATTTACCCAATGTAACTATATTATATAGGAATATAGTTAAAAGAAAGATTTCTTTAAAAGATTTCATCTAAATTTTAAAATTATGATTAAAATATATTTAAGTATAGTTAGTAAAAAATATAATAAGTAAATTACAAAAATTAAAAAGAAAAAAAATGGAATTATACGTTAAATATTTTTATTATAAATAGAAAAATATACTTTAAAATTTATTATCAAATAGGTTAATTTAATCTGCCATATAAAATAATGAATATTTAAATTTATGTTTAACACAAAAAACATTTTATTTATTTGAAGAGAAGTATNGTTCGCCATATAATTGAATTAAATAAGCTTAATTAATGTTTTATTTGAGTTAATATAGTTAATAAAGAAAAATATATTTTCTTGTTAATGTAATTATTTTAGCAAATTTTCTGCTGATAAATTTTATAAAAAAAAGGGGGCTAAATTAATTTAATTTTGTTTGTAGTATATTAAAATTGTAAGGGTTAAGTTTATTCAGTTTTAATGCTTTAATTATGTAAAATATTTAAATGAATATATAAAAATTACAGCAATTTGGTAACTTGTTACATTTTTAAAGTACTTTAAATGTTTAATATTTATTTTTAAAAAATTATATTACATTTTAAAAATTGTATTTTCTTTCTTAAAGTTTTCATCATGTATGTTAAATCGCCAATATAAATCTTAATTAAAATTTTAAATATATATATGTATGTATATAATTTTTAACTTACACGCAAAGATTCTATAAATATTTTATGCTTAAACATATACTTTTTTAAGCAACATAAGGATACAAGCGTATAAATTAATTTATTACCAAATTTAAAACGTAATTGCTGTTTTCTGAGTAAAGGCATTCTCACTAATCTCTGTTTTATAACGATTGTAAATCTTATAGAAAAACGTTTAATTATGTTTATAGAGTAGTTTAATTTAGTATATTTTTTATAACGGTATAAACAGTTATATACGTGTAAAAAAAAGAAAAAAAGCTAATCAACTTATAACCTTATCTACACTAGCTTAGTAATAAATGCTGAGATAAGCAAAGTTGTTACGCCAATATCATCGAATGATGTCATAAATTCACTCACCGTTTAATAGCTAAATATTAAAGGATTGGATTTTATAGAAATTCTCATGTTTATTTTGTTCGTAATGTTTTTTTAAATAGAATAGAAAACATTAATGACGTATTTTAATTAGATTTTTCTAGCATTTTACACAGTAGGAATCTTCATTTCGTTACAACTCCTAAACGTTCTCAATATATCAACTTTAAACACTTTTAAATTTCAAAGATACGCCTAAGTTATGTTATAGGAGAATGAATTTAAAAAAAAAAAATTCCACAAAAAATATCAACGTTATTAGATAGAAATGCAAATAAAAAGTATTTAAACAAGTCTATCTTTAAGCGAGTTGTTGTTAATTCATTCCTTAAATTGTGAAACAGTATGGTTTCCTCCTATAATGTTAACAGTAGCTTCTATATATCAATCAGTTTTCATAAAAAAAGAAACAAATCACTTGATTAATTTCTAAAAGAAAA